ACTACAGTAGACATGATTGAAACAAACAAACAAACAAACAAACAAACAAACAAACAAACAAACAAACAAACAAACAAACAAACAAACAAACAAACAAACAAACAAACAAACAAACAAGCAAACAAAATGTTAAACAGAAATCAGATTTGTTTTAAAGTGGGAAATAGATGCAATTATGTCAATTGAATATTTTTAAATTTACCATGTCAGATCACTCCGACATGTTTGCCTCAAGTCCTATTGTCCTGACTTTAAAACGTTCTATAACTATAAAGAAAGTGTATGGAAGCTATACTGTACAGTACGGTACTGTGTATCCTTCAATTTAAACACACGTAAAAAATACGATATTTTTACGTGTGAAAATATCTGTTGTAAAACGCATTGCCACGGACGTTTTATTGTTTTTCACTGAATTATATAATAAACAGAAAAATACATGGATGCTTGGAAATACCAGATTTATTTCTCGTGTTGAACATGATATCTCACTCGTTCGCTGCGCTCACTCGTGAGATATCATGTTCAACACTCGAAATAAATCTGGTATTTCCGCGCACCCATGTATTATTCTCTATATATGTACCAACCCGTCACTGCGCATGACTTTCTCTTGACGAGTAGAACTGGCGTTAGACCGAGTATGAAGGCCCATACAGACCGAACGCGATTTGACAACGCGACACAAATTTCAAATCTCAAAAACCGTCACCGGATAAACATTTTACAGGATATGCAGACCAAATAGCTAAAATTGCTTAATAAGTGGTTCCGAATATTTGAAAAACATAGAAAAATATTAAAGTTAAATGTAATTGAAAATTTGCGTCGCGTTGCCGAATCGCGTACGGTGTGTATGGGCTTTAATATTAAAGTTGGGTGCATTGCAGCTTACTGTAAGACATATGCTTGATGGAAAAACTATTTCAAACACTTGTAAAGTGTTGACATATAAAGATTGTGACAACTTCATATTCTGGCTTCAACAATTACCCATTAAATATTAGGACTTGATCAAAATATACCTCACTGAGCATCCATTACCATCGTGCGACCAAAATTGAACAATTTTGTTGGCTAATTTCTTGATGAATTATTAATGAGTTTGAAATACGGTAATATAATATTTTCATTTAGGTCGAGTTGTGTCTGGGATGCATTGAGTGGGCAAAAAGTGAGAAGAGAGTCTTTTTAAGACAAGCTTTAGAGGTATGGCTAATGTGTATCTCATTTTTACCTGCATGCATGCATGGATATTATGGGAAAAGCGGTAAGGCCAAAAAAAATATGTGGGTTTCCTATTTCTTCTTGTAAAAACTTAGGTAGGGTAGGTCGGTTTTAACTTTTTTTTAAACTTTTTTTTAAACTTTTTTTTAAGTTTTCCTAACAACCGGACGCCATTTTGTTTAGTCAGTGCTTCCACATTCAAAGATAAATTTCCCTAATATTGCCTCAAATTTCCATTTTTCACAAATGTTTTCCTTTAAGTGGAAACACTTGCAAGCATGATCCATACATTTTGCCATTGTCTACATCTGTCCAGGTATAGATAATTATACAAATACAATATAGCGTTATGCCGTTATCAGTTGAAGGAATAGGGAACTTCAGCTACTGTAGCAGGATGGCAAGGCATACTGAAGTTGTGCAGATTATTATATGTTAAATTAGTATTCTTAAATATTTTAGTCGAGACTGGTTGGTTTATACTATGGTGTGAAAGAATACCAAAAGGCTCTTTCATTAGGTATGTAAAACACACAATTTTTCTTTATGTATATATTACGTATATGTATTTATATGTAATGGTCACGCTTGTTAGCGTGACCATTAGTGTCGTGTGGTATGCTCACTGTGGTGTTTACCACAAATACGTCGTATAAAAAGACTTTTTAAAGAATTAATATTCGAAAACCGTTATGACAAGAATATTTATCTGATAATTTTTCAGGTTCTAAATTATTGAAAGAATTAAAGAAATTAGATGATAAGATGTTACTTGTTGAAGTACAATTATTGGAAAGCAAAATATATCACTCATTAAAGAATGTTCCAAAATCAAGGTAGGCTTTGGTTATAGATTCGCTTACAGCAAATAGTTAGTCTAGCAGTACAGGGTGTATAAAAAAAGGTAATCGAATTTCAGCGCGCTATTATACGTGAATCACTCGGCGTATGAACAATTGGTTTTCATTTTCGGAAAGATCAGTCTTTAAGGGTGCGATAATTCGCGTACCAACGTACGCCAAAATTATGGTCTGGTACTTCTTTGTTTTTAGCTGAGTACCACGTAGGTACACGAGAATATGCTATTCGCGTACTTACATTTTTCTTCTAGCAATAACTAGCAAACCTTCCAAGGTATTTAACTTTGTTATCTGTGTTTTTGGATGCTATCGACTAGAGTGGAGGATTCACTAATTTTCGAAGATTTCCGAATTACGCTTGTTATAATGCTATGTCCATAAATGGTTCGATGAGGTTAGGCTGTTAGCACCCTTGGTAAATCTACTGTAACTGAGCGAGTAGCGACGGCATTCGAGTCGCAAGAACGCTTTGAAAATTGTTATGTATATGTCGTACAAATACCATTAAAGATTTGTTTTTTACAAAATTGTCCATAGTTTTTGCTTTTAGATCAGTAAACCATTCAATGTGATGTAAAGGTTTTAGGCTGTTGGAAATCTTAAGTTTTATTTCCTGTTATTAGCAATCCATTAATATCTTTATCATGAACTAACTAAATGAATAAATCTGGAGAATTTAGTTTTATGTGTGATATATTGCGTACTAGTAAACGTATTTATTAAATATATTAAATTCAGAAAGGTTTAATTTTTCCCGTCCAAGACTGTGCATTATATACGTATGTATAAAACGCAAGACTCGGAAGTATAGCCTTTGTTGGGGATTGCCTCCAAGTATCGCCCAAAATAAATCACAACAAATTAACAGAGGATAATATCTATTACAAAATCACAAGTTTCACAGTTTCACAGCCACATGTTTTTAAGTTCTCTCCTGGAAAAAACAACCACCACCGGTATAATCTGGAACTTTCCGAAGTGTTTAAAGTTTGGACTCGCGCGTCCCACGCGTGAACATAAATACTAATTCTAGATTACGACAGTTTCCGACACTCTCCCCCCATATACCTTACAGCGAGGTATATGTCCCTCAAAGGAGACTGGTCTAACCAAACAGTACTAATAAAGGATAAAGTTCTATAAAAGTTCAGTGTTCAATTTGCACTATATAGTTTTCGTCAACGTTCTACTTCTACTACTTCTTTAATGCGTTGTTGAGCTGCCACTGCAGCATCTCGTCTTGATCGGAACGACGCCGCTTCCGGGTTTAAGTTGATAGGTTCCTTTGTTTCTGTACGGTCACTCGATAACTTGTGTACTACCCTCCTGGTCAATCCGCCGAACAAGCAATCGATATGAATGAATACTTAACTACTTGTATAGATAGTCTCTTGCGCGAACGTCCTTCATCTGGAATTGTTATAGCTGGGGACTTCAATCAACTAAAATTAAGAGAACTATGTAACAGATTTAATTTAAAAAGATCTGTAACTAAACCGACTAGAGGACACAACATTCTTGATCCAATCCTTACAAATATGCTCCCTCTCTTTGACACTGTTAGCCATCTTCCCCCAATCGGACGCTCCGACCACCAATGTCTTCTAATCAAGCCCATTAAAAGACAGAAAACTCCGGTTACGTCAAAAAAAATTAGATTGATGAAACGAGCAAATTTAAATGACCTCTCCCTGAATATGGCTTCTGAAGATTGGACTGCTGTATATTCAGCACTGGATGTGGATGAGAAAGTATCCGCTTATAACTCCATTATAATCAAGATGCTTGACGAGTTCTTACCAGAAAAAACCATCAGAATACATCACTCTGATAAACCGTGGATCACTGGTAATATTAAAATGCAAATCAAAGCTCGTCAGAAAGCCTTTTCTCGTGGTGATCAGCCAAGATACAAACAACTCTGCGAGAAAGTGGCAAATCTTATAGCTAAAGCTAAAGCCAAGGCCTCAGAATTTCGTACCTCGAATCAATCGAAGTGGTATAACTGTATCTACTCTTTAGTAAATGCCGAAAACACAACCTACACCCAATTTCCACACAGGCCCGAAAACCTAGACTTATCCGACTTAGCTGAAAAACTTCAGAAAGCCTTCACTAAACCATGGTCGGACCGGTACACGAATGTCGCCTTTGAAATACCTGAAGTGAACCATCCACATAAGAATAACAAACCACCTCTTCCTTCTATTGGCCAAGTTAAAGCGGTCTTAAAACATCTTAATCCAAGAAAAGCAACTGGCATTGATAAGGTTCCTGCATGGATGCTCAAACAATACCACGAAGACCTAGCTCCTGTGGTTTATGACATTGTGTGCTGTAGTATAAGTCAATGTTGTTATCCATCACTCTACAAACATGCCCTAATTTCCCCTGTTCCTAAAGTGCAACCACCGAGAGACATCAACAATGATTTCCGCCAGATATCAGTCTTACCCCATCTTGCCAAGATCCTGGAAAAGATCCAGCTCCAGTTAAATATTGAAGATCTGAAAATTAAGAATAACCAGCACGCGTTTACTCAACATCGAAGCACAGTCTCTGCGTTAATATCAACTACCCAAACCTGGTTTAATGCCACTGATTGTTCAAAAACAGGCAAAATGGGGGTTCATGCGGCCTTCATTGACTTTCGTAAGGCCTTCGACCTTGTGGATCACAATATTCTTTTGACCAAATTAGCAGCTATGAACATAAATAAACCCTTCTGGTTATGGATTAAAAGTTTCCTTTCCGGAAGAGTTCAACAAGTAAATCTCAATGGTACCTTATCATCCATTGCAACATGCCCGGCCGGAGTCCCGCAAGGCTCTGTAATATCTCCCATTCTTTTTAATACCTACATTGATGATTTGGAGGACGCCTTACCAGAACAACTAAAAGTCAGTACGAATAAGTATGCAGATGACTGCACACAACACCAAATAGTGAGCGTAGATTCTAATAGTAATTTACAACAATCTATCAATGAAGTAAATAACTGGGCGGTGTTAAATAAAATGGCAATTAATGCTAAAAAAACTAAGGACATGTGGATCTCTTTCACGGACGCTATACCTGAACCACCACGTCTTCTTATTGGAAATGAGTTAATAGAAAGGGTCAACGCTTTTAAATTACTTGGCGTGTCGTTCCAAAATAATCTAAAATGGAACGCACATGTTGAAGAGATTACACGTAAAGCAAATAAACGCCTTTACCATCTTAGAGAATGCAGGAAATCGCAGTTACCAGCTGAAGTCGGTATTATTACCTATCAATCCAAAATAAGACCAATTCTCGAGTATGCATCACCTGTCTGGGCGGGACTGCCTAATTACCTGCGAGATGAAATAGAGCGGGTTCAATCCAGGAGCTTAAGAATCCTTGGCCTGGAAAAAGATTACCTACCACCGCTGAACGAAAGAAGGGAAGAGGCAACTAGTCGAGAAGTTGATAGGTTTATGAACGATCCAAACCATCCCTGTCGCAGTGTTTTGCCAAAATTAATTAACAATCGGTACTATTTAAGGAACATTGACCGGAATCGCAATATATCATTCTTCTCAGGAACTGAAAGGCATAAACATTCTTTTTCAGGAAGAGCTTGTAAATATGTATAAATAATTTTAACTTATTGGAAGAACTTATTAGTTTAAAGAACTTATTAGTTTTAACTTCTTAGTTAGTTTTCTAAGTTATCTTACAACAATTTGTAATATAAAGACATACCCACAGCATATATACTTTCTTAACCAAGTAATTGTAAGTCCATTGTACTTTTTTATCTTAAGATGGATGAATAAAGCTATTATTATTATTAGTAGATACAGGTGGTTCACTGCTCGTTCAAGGTAGGTTTTCCCTGCACGAAGTTTCACCGCACGAACAACACCATCATGTCCTTTGTACAGCTCGTCGACAACACCGAGAGGCCACTTTCCACGGCTTCGTTCATCCGATTGTATAATGACCACGTCACCCTTTTTCACCGTGAACGACGTCTTCTTGTGATTTGGTTATGCCGCTCTCGTAGACCGCGCAGATATTCCGTTGACCATCTCCGCCACATTGCTTGCTTGTACTTTAACAAATACCTTGCACGCTTGCGTAGATCCTTTTCTTGTATGTGATGTGCTTCCAGCTCTGGCGCGAATGTAGAACCAATGAACATCATGGAGTTAGGCGTTAGCGTTGGTAGCTGTACATCATCTTCCATGTAGCTGAGTGGTCTTGTATTCAGTGCTACTTCGATGTCTACGAGGACCTCCTTCAGCTCGTTCCAACTCAGCGACCCTTTGCCAATTGTTTTATTTAGAGCTCTTTTTACCAATCCGATTAAGCGCTCGAACTGGCCACCCCACCATGGGGCGCGACTCAGGTTGAACTGCCATCTAATTCGATTCTTGCTGAGGAATTCGTTTAACTTTTCATCGTTTTGAGCTGTTCGTAACCAGTTTGCTGCTGAAACAAACGTTTTTGCATTGTCAGAGTAGACTTTGCTTGGTCTCCCTTTCCTTGCGATGAATTTGTTAAAACTCTCGATAAACTTTCCTGTGTCTAAGCAGGGCATCAACTCGAGATATAGCCTGCGAACAGGCCCTGGGTTGCGGGCGGCGCGAAGAATAGAGGGCCTGCACGGATGATAGGTTTTCTTGGTAGTGGCGTTCGTATAGAAACGCAGGCTTCTGATTGGCTTACACTCGTTGACAAAATTACTAAAAATAGCAAATGTCAAACAACAGCATTTCGAAGAATTTGAACTTTATTCATTTTAATATTATATATTATATATTATAGGACTATCGAACAAATAAAACTAGAAGTGGAGACCAAAAGCAATAGCAAAGTATCACAGCAAAAAGTCTATCATAAATGACTTGAATCTATCGCTTAAATCCAATATACGAAACTATAACAGTATTCTGAACTTCGTCTTCGGATTGACATCAGACTATAGCCGGTATAGTACATTTTGAGGTCGTCGTGGCTTCACGGATTATTCTCATTAGTGAGCAAGTCAGAATGCGAAGGCATACAAAAGATACCCAAATATGTACGAATAATTATAAATATATATCGTACATTAAACGTTGTACTATTTGCTGTATATTAACTGCTGACAATTTCGTCGTCGATACGGCTTCCACTATTGGCACACTCGTGATTTCGAAGAAATTAATACATGCTCATTTATCATTTATTTAGACCACAGTTAGTAAAATTTTAAACGTATTCGGTATTCCAAATCCCAATCTATCTGACCGTATTTTAGTAATAGCTTCAAAATATTCAGAACATTGTTCTTTCAGTCGCACATAGTACAAGTATTACTGTACATTCAAAGCCAAAGGTAGTATTTTATTCGGCTTTATATTTGTATGTGTATTGATATCTATTTAATATTTGAATTCTAT